CTGTCTGTCTGTCTGTCTGTCTACCTGCCTTCCTGTCTGTCTGTCTGTCTGTCTGTAGTTTTTCATTCAGGAACAGGAAACCATAAATAGATTCATATCAAGCGATAACCTGATTATATATTGACACTTTGACCTTTGACCTCACGCTTAGGAAGACATTTCAGTCCTAATCATAACACCAGATTAGATCTCATCTGATTCTTCAGCTCAAACTTACTGGAAACCCAGAGTCCTTCACAATAAAATACAGCTTTCAGAATAAAAGCACTTACTAAAACATAAAGTTTAACAGAACCAGACGTTTTTATCAGCTGAACTTTCTTCACCTCTGACCTTTGACCCTACAAGCTGCAGAATGAAACTGCCTTTAGTTCAGATCAGAGGTGACATTAGAGAAGATGAAGCTCCGCCTCCAAGCGTGATGTCACTACACACCTGGTCAGGGCCGACCGGACCTCTGGAACCGTCTGGTTCTGGTTCTGGTTCTGGTTCTGGTTCTGGTTCAGAGTTTATATGACGGTTATGATTTTATTTGTTTCCAGAATAAGTCAAAGTTTCTGAGTTTATCTTTTTGGCCCTAAAGTTAAATAATTAGAGGAGGATTCTGAGACTCAGTACAACATTAATATTTTTATGTCAAACTATTTATTCATGAATTCTGACTGAAGATAAATGTGTTTTGTGTTTAATTATAAAAAATATTTAACTTTAAAGAGAAAACAACCCCAGTAAATATTCACATCTCTGCTTTTGCACAGTTTCTTAATGTAAATAGTTTATTTTTATGCGCAAATATTAATGCATATTTTAGAAATTTCTAAATTAACCCATTGAGTTACACTTTTCTTTACATAACGGAGGTTAAGATTTTTTCTTACTATACAGTATTTTTATATTTTATATTCCGTTTGCTTTGATCTCCTGTCATTTTGCTGCTGTTGCTCAGACATTCCCCCATTTTGGGACAATAAAGGACATTTCTATTCTAGTCCAAACTGAGAGGTTAAACTCCAGATTTATTGAGAAACTTTAATATTTTCATCCTTTATAAGAGTTAAGATTCTTTAATATGAATTAGGTGAATGACTTCAAACTGTTTTTTTCTATGAATCGGGTTTTTATGTGGTAATAATGAACGATTCTGTCAGATGATCAGAGATATTTGGGTTAATATGCGTCAGTTTGGATGTTCTGAGTGATAAGAGCCCAGGTTTCCTCCGTTCTGGACCAGAACCCGGTCAGAACTGGTTCTTCTCGCTGCGTTTCAGCAGACAGAGAGGAAGTTGGAGGCTCAGCTCATCAATATATTTAGAAACGCCACAGAGTTAAAAAAAAACGAGCTGTTTGAATAAAGCAGCGAGGCGTTGTCGTTGTTCGATGTCAGACTGCTGCAGATCCAGCGGGTCGTTTTCAGCAGCGGTTAGCCTCAGGTTCTGCTGTCTGGGTCAAAGTTCTGTTCAGCCAGAACCATCTATAACATCACCCTGGGTGACCTTTGACCTGCTCTGATCTGCTCTGATTTCATTCCCTGTAAAAATGGTCTGCAGCGCAGGGCATTCTGGGTAAATACAACCAAAGCTAACGTGCTAGCCTAGCGCTAGCAGCAGAAATGGCTCCTGGTGTTTAGCCAAAGACTAAAGAGAAATCCTCCAACTGCTAAAATCTGACGCCTCCATCTTGTTTCCATTTGGTGAAGAAGGAAGTTGGAAAACACTCTAAGACTTTTGCACAAGCAGGACAGGAACTGAGCTGCTTCTGTCCAAGAAAACCATGTAAGACCAGCGAACCTCCTGCAGGATGCTGGAACAAACGGTTTCCTCTGATGAAGCACAAATAATGAATAAAAATCCCACAGACCAGAGCAGCGACGTGTTGGACCTGAACCAGAGTCACTTTGATTAAGCTGTTGGTCTTTACTGACGTTTTTCCACTCAGGAAAAACGTTTCCTGAATGTTTTACTGGTCCAGTTCATGACAACATGAAGAACCTCGACCCGACAAGCTTAGAAACATGAATCCTTGGGTTGAGGCTGGTTTACTGGTTACCAGTCAGCAGACAAACGGCTCGTTTTCAGCAGCAGGACTTTAGTTTGGTCATCGGCCGTCAGACTGAAGGAAACACCCAGAACCTTCTGGAACCAGGCTGGTCCATGAAATGGAGGAAACGATCCGATGACCTTGTGATTTAAGCAGCCGCCGTGTCTCTAAGTGAAACTTCCACATTAGGACTTCACCAATCACAGCCCACTTCAGCGTCAGATTCCTGAGCTCAGAGCGAGAGTCCATTACGGCGCCGTTTGGGGAAGTAAAAGTCCATTTTAAAGAGCTGGTCGGGTTAAACAGGATCTCTGAAACTGTGCAGGTTGTTTTTAATCGGCGGCTCAAATCTCTTCCGACTGGATTAAAACTAAAGTTTTATTTATTAAAAGAAGTAAATTTAATGTTTCTGCCAGAGGAAAATCTGCATGTTTTTGTGTCTTGGAGAATAAAATAAGATCTGATGCTTTAAGACGTAACGAAGTCTTCCTCTGCCTGCAGACTTTAGCAGAACCGAATGGATCTACAAACTGGGATGAATCGTTTCTGCCGTCGTTCTTTTCTGCCTTTCTTACCTGAACTCAGCTCAGCCTGTTTTACTTCCTCTGTTTTAAATTTAGGCCAAACTTTCAGAGACTTTGTTGCTTCCTCTTTTCTCCGTTTTTAACACGAAGGCGTCGCTTCCACTTCAGCTTGCAGCCACAAACTGCCAAACTGTCAGCCGGCAAACGCTTTAGAGCACAAAGAGCAAATCTACCCCGACAGCATGAAATGTTCTCCAGATAAAGGTGAAGCTGCGAGCTTCACTTCTCCTTTAACGCAGCTTCAGGGTTTCCTCACTCAAATATTCACACATTGATACTTTAAACTGGATCAAGGTTTGTCAGAAACCAACTTAACCAACACAAAGGCTTTGAATATGAATTTTATTTTGAGTTATTATGTGTTAAAATATTGGTCCTTACTACTATTAGAAGGATCTGAAAGCAGTTTTATTGCTAAATCCATTTTTAGAAACCTCCAAAGTGGGATTTCTACGTTTTTTAAACGATAAATGAGAACAGATTGTATTGGCCTTCTGATGATTAACGGCATTTTCAACCTGAGTCATTTGAAATGTTTCAAACCCTCCACATCATCATCATCATCATCATTATGATCATCATGGTAATTTAAGGCCAGACTCCAGTTTCCATGCTGTTATTTGGGGAAGGAAGTTGGATTTAACTGGATTTAGATGTTCTGTTTTACCTTCAGTACTTTAAAAGCTCGGTGCTCTGAGGTCCTGGTTTGCATCACGTGTTCTGAGAATCAGGAAGTGAGACCTCAGCTGAATGTTTTTCACTTGTATCTTTGTTTCTTGTTTAGACTTGACCAGTAAATACCGACTCAGAAGTAAAGTTCTAGTTTAATTTGAAGGGAATCTGCGTAACGTAGGAATCTGCTGAACTACAGCGTTAGCGTTAGCGTATTTCCACTGTTTTTCACAGATTCTTTTTAACATGACAGAAAATTAAAGTTTATCTTAATATTGCCTTTAGGATGCTAACAATAGGCATTTGTTTTGGTATAAAATTGCCCTTTATGTTGGTGTGTTAGCATGCTAATGTAGCACTGTTGTGCCAACATCATGTGCTACTATATGCAGCATGCTACTATAGTGCTAGGTGGCTAATGTCATTTATGTTTGAAAACTGGTGTTAGAGTATGGGGAGTATAATAATTTAATTATGTGTTAGCATGCTAACATGATCATTGCTAGGCTAACATCATCAATGACTGAATGTTCGGCAGGATAATTTTACAGTAACACTGTCACTAATGTCTGCATTTAAAATGCTAATGTTGCTATTAATAGCAGGCTAACATTTCAGTTTACATTTGGATGTTAGCTAGCAGAAATTGTGCTAGCTGGCTAACAGTATTATAAATGATTGAATATTAGCATTAGCATCATAGTTGTAGTTCTGTCATGTGAATGTGAGGATTATTGTTTCAGTAAATGAATATTTTTCACAAGTAATTTATCTGTCAGATCATTTGAATTTCTGTTGCTTGAATGATGTAGAATCTTCGTTTTAGATGAAGACTTTAGGAGAAAAGCAGGATGTTGAAATATCTTAACGCCCGAGCATCATTGTGTCACCATAGTAACCAATGAAGAGCATCACTTCAGATTTATCTTAGTAATGGACTCAGGTCCCGGCTATGCAGCAGACCCACCATGCTGTGCTAACATTAACATGCTAGCGTTAGCAACATGGCTAACCGTTTTTGTTCTCTCTATCTTTGCTTCGTGTGTCGGCAGCATGGGGAACCTGATCAAGGTGCTGACCCGAGACATCGACAACAATGCTGGAAACTTCTTCCTGGACTTTGAAAGTAGGAATCAGAGACTGTGACCAATTAAATCTGTCTGCTTCCTGTCCAGCTGCTATCAGCTGCAGATGTTCTGATAATGACTGCAGGCTGTTCTTCCAGACGCGCAGCCATCGCAGTCAGAGACAGAGGTGTGGGAGAAGGTGAACCAGGTGCTGACGGAGGCCAAGGTCATCCTGGAGGACCTGCAGACGTACAAAGGAGCAGGAGAGGAAATACGACAGGCGAGCAGCTTGATGAATCTATGAAAATATAATAAAACAAAGACTAAACACTCAAAGAGCTGGATTTAATCCCTACCATTTAAATATTTAACTTGATAGCAAAAATATTTAGCTTGGATACTAAATATTTAGTTAGTAAGCTAAATACTTAATTTCCTTACTAGACATTTAGTTTGTAAACTAAGTATTTATCTTTCTAGCAATATATTTATATGCTAACTAAAAGTTTAGTTTGTAAGCTAAATAGTATTTAGCTCCAAGCTAAACATTTAACTTACTAAATAAATATTTAGCTTCTAATTAAATATTTAGTTTGAAACTGTGACATTTATAATTGAATGAGTAACATGGAGAAAATAAGACTTTGAGAAACGAATCCCCATTTTTTCTCTATAATGAAAATCATTGCTGTTAATTTCTGATTGTAACTTTACAAACAGCAACATGAAGTAATAATAAGACAGGTGGTCATTGTTGTTCTTTTAGACTTTAATTTAGCTCTTTTTTGAAAACATCCTCTGAGTTTGTTGGAAATCAGAATGCTGAAAAGCAGTCTTTCTGAGGATTTTATTTTGAAAGCGTGCTGGGCTCAGTTGTTAAAGTGTCCTTGGTGTTTCCAGGCCATCCAGAACCCAAACGTTGAAGGCGTCCAGGAGCGGGCCTGGGCCGCCGTGGTTCCTCTGGTCGCCAAACTCAAAACTTTCTACGAGTTTTCACAGAAACTGGGTAACCGACTTCTAACGGTTTCAAACTACCAACCTGAGCCGCTTTTACATGTTTTCCTTCCAAACAGCCGGATTCGTTCTCTAAATGTTTGAAGTCTGGATCATATTTTAGTTGGACTGAGGTCCAGTTTGAGCGCAGACCTGAGTTTCCCTGTTCCCGTCAGAATCCAGCCTCCACTGCCTCCTGGACGTCCTGACCAGCGCCGACTCCACCCCGACACAACATCTGGAGCAGAAACAGGCGCTGGCCCGTCAGTTCGCCCACATCCTGCACTTCACGCTGCGATTCGATGAGCTGAAGGTCCGCTGCTCTTCCTCCTCCTCTTCCTCAGGGTCCCTCCTCTTCATCGCTCTGACTCTGTCCGTTTCAGATGACCAACCCGGCCATCCAGAACGACTTCAGCTACTACCGGCGAACCATCAGCCGCATGCGGATCAACAACATGTCGGTAAGAAACCCGAACAGAGATTCAACCCCAAACCAAATATATGCAAATTCACTTACTGAGAAGTGGAAGTGCCCTATCAAAATAAAAGCTGGATCTTGTGAATCTGTATAAACTGCTGGAGACGCTGAATCTCCTCACAGCAGCGCCGTCACTGTGTTGGTAAAATCCTCTATTAAAACGTCATTAAGGAACAGAAGAAAAGAAACGACGATCTTTTCTAACCTAAATATTAGTTAAATATTGAAATATTTAGCTTGCTATATATTTAGTTAGAAAGTTAAATATTCAGCTGCCAAACTAAATATTTTTTAAATATGTAATTTGAAACTGTGGCAGTTAAAATGAATGAAAAACATGGTGGAAATATTATTTATTGCTATTTTTCACTGTGTAACTTTATAAATGGCACCAAACAAAGTAGAATTAGGTCAGTTTTGCTTCTTTTAAATTTAAATGTAGTTTTTTTTCTAATTTCCACTGAGTTAAAGAAATGTCTGACTTGTCTCTTATGATATGATCTCATTTTATCACTTCATGTGTCTGAACGATTCTCTGTTGTTCGTTAAACTTGGTGAGCCACAGGGACGTGTCCTCGGTCCTCTTCTGTTTTAAAATGAGAAAACCTGAAATCTCAGGATATCAGATGATCTTAAAGCTTGTCTTTGTGAGTTATGGGGATGAGATAAGTTGGATAAACTGATTTAATCCTGTTGGCTCTAATGTGCCTCAGTTTTGATGCTGAAATTCAAACTCTTGTTTATGTTTTCACGTCAGTTTGTGACAAAATCAGGTAAAAATTTCTCAATTTAAAATTTAAAAATGTAAAACTCCTTTTCTGTTTTGTAACCTGGATGAAGCCTTCTCCTCTGTCTCAATGCTCTTCAGCTCGTTGTGAGTCTCTGGATTCTGCTTTTCAGTCGGACTCGGGGAGCGAGGTCAACAACGAGCTGGCCAATCGGATGTCTCTGTTCTACGCCAGCGCCACGCCCATGCTGAAGACGCTGAGCGACGCCACGTCAAAGTTCGTCTCAGATGTGAGTTTATCTGTCCTCCAGGACGGGTTCTGGTTCTGGTTCTGGTTCTGGTTGGTCCAATCTTCCTACTGACTGTCTCACTGAACTCCCCAGAGCAGAGCTGACATATAAATATGTCAGAAAATACAAATTAATTGATGTAAACTTTTGTCACTGTTAGGTGATAATGAAGAAAAAATGTTTCTATTAATTTTTACACATTTTCCAGATTAATGTTGATTAAATAATTAGTGATTAATGGGAGAAAAGAGAAACTTTAAGTATTTTAAATTTAAAATAAACCTGTCCCCTTCATATTTACTAAATCAATGAATGCGTTTAACGCTGAATGTAGCTTTAACTGATAAATCTTTCAGTTTTTATGTAATTATTGAACAGCAGAACTGATGTGATCAGGTTTCCAGTGTCAGGTTGTTTGCTGAGCTCACCAGCAGAGGGCGCACTCCTCCTTCCTTAAGCAGCAGAACCAATGCAGGTCGGTTTCTTCCTACTGTTTCCGGTCCAAGATGGGTTCTTTGGTTCCAAACATGTAGCAGTTCTTCCCGGTTTGAATCTAGTTTCAGAACCGCTGGTCCAAACCGATATCAGAACCGAAATAAAAATCTTTGGACAAATGTGTTATTCTGGATGTAATTTGATTATTTTTGTGACCATTTGACTTCCTAACTCATTAAAATAACTCAATTACAAAGAAAACTAAAGTGGTGGAGCTGTTGGGTTTTCTCCCATCATGCATCTGGAGTCTGATGATCCGTTTGTCTCTGCTGTCCAGAACCCGGAGGTTCCCATCGAGAACACGACCGTCTGTCTGAGCACCATGGCCTGCGTGTGCAAAGTGATGCTGGAGACGCCGTGAGTCCTGGACGCATCTTCATCACCTGTACGGTCTTCCTCCACCACTTCGGCCTGACACTCACTGTGTGTGTGTGTGTGTGTGTGTGTGTGTGTGTGTGTGTGTGTGTGTGTGTGTGTGTGTGTGTGTGAGAGCAGGGAGTACCGCAGTCGCTTCGCCAGTGAGGAGACGGTTCTGTTCTGCCTCCGTGTGATGGTCGGCGTCATCATCCTGTACGACCACGTCCATCCGGCCGGAGCCTTCGTGAAAACCTCCAACATAGACGTACGTCAGGCCCGACAAGCTGGGCCACACAGTTTGATTCCTCATATGTTTCCTTTTATCAACATTTGATGATGATGATAATTTTAACAAATATGTAGAAAAACATATTTTTCAAAAGAGTTTCATGCTGCAGCTGTGATGTTCTGCAACTTGCATCAGTAAAATAATTTTTCTTAGTGGATCGGGCAACGAAACGGCCAACAACCTTAAAAATCAGAACAGAACCGATCAGAACCTCCTGATCCAGAAGCGGTTCTGCAGGTTCTAGACTGACGTGTTGTGTTTCCAGATGAAGGGCTGCATCAAGGTTCTGAAGGAGCAGCCGCCCAGCAGCGTGGAGGGACTGCTGAACGCCCTGAGGTAGGAGAGAGAGGCATCCAACCGTACATCCAACCGTCCAACCGTACATCCATCTGTCCAACCATCCAACCGTACATCCAACCGTCCAACCGTACATCCATCTGTCCAACCATCCAACCGTACATCCAA